AAGTAATTGATAACAATTCTGGCTATAAGTTTCTGATAGACACAGGTTCAGACGTAAGTTGTATACCACTAAATTTAGTCAAAAGACCCTTAAAACCATCCGGGATAGAACTCAGAGCTGCAAATAACTCTGAAATACCCACTTATGGTAGTTTATGTCTCAACTTAAATATTGGTCTACGAAGAACTCTAGTCTGGAATTTCATAATAGCTAAAGTAAGCACTCAAACAATTATTGGTTCTGACTTCCTAGCTCACTATTCTTTATTACCTGATTGTAGTAACGGTTTCTTAATTGACAACATTAACATTACACAATTAAAAAGTAAATGTCAGTTCATGAATACTCAGCAATTTAGTATTAAATTAATTACTTCCGACCCATCAAACTATCCACTGTTATTGGAATTTCCAGAAATCACAAAACTTTTAGGAGTATCAAGATTTATTCCTCATAACACAGTACATTACATAAATACGACTCCTGGCCCACCAGTTTCATCAAGACCAAGAAGGTTAGCTCCGGATAAATATAAAATTGCCAAATTACAGTTTGAATCCATGGTAGCAAATGGAACTGCGTGTCGTTCCAAAAGCCCATGGTCATCACCACTTCATTGATTAAATTTGACGCAGTCCATCCGGAATCCCGGTCAGAGACGAAGCCTTCAAGTATACCTAAAAAGAACAATGAGTGGCGACCATGTGGCGATTACCGAGCATTGAATGCCCGCACTATTCCAGATTCTTACCCTGTTCGACATATCCATGACATGTACATGATTTCTCAAATTGTTTACACGGTAGTAAAGTTTTCACTGTGATAGATCTTGTAAAGGCATATACGCAAATCCCAGTTAATAAAGAAGACGTGCCCAAGACTGCAATAACGACCCCATTCGGTCTCTTTGAGTTCCCGTTCATGTCTTTTGGGTTGAGGAATGCTGGTCAAACTTTTCAAAAGTTTATTGATGAAGATGTAGAGGGACTAAGTTTTTGTTTCCCATACATTGACGATATCCTTGTTTTCTCAAAAGATCCTGTCAAGCACGAAGAACACCTCCGTATTCTGTTCAAGAGGTTAGTCAAATATGGCGTCCTTATAAATGTGAAGAAATCTGTATTTAACACTGACTCAGTAGTTTTTTTGGGATATCAAGTCACTGCTGACGGAACCAGGCCTGTGCCTGATCGCATTGACGCCCTTCAGAATTATCCTTTGCCACAAACTGCCAAAGGTCTTAGGCGATTTTTGGGAATGTTGAACTTTTACCGCAGGTTTATTCCTCACGCTGCAGAATTTCAAGCCCCTCTCCACACAGTCCTTTCGTCATTAAAAGGGAATCAGAAAGTCCCTTGGACCGATGTATCGACTGAAAAATTCAGTAAATGTAAGGATCATTTAGCCGAAGCTACATTACTTTGTCACCCCAACGCTAATGGTAAATTAACACTTTTTTGTGATGCATCGAATACTGCAGTAGGATCAGTACTACAACAATTGAATCAAGATGGAATATGGTAACCTCTGTCCTTCTTTTCCCAAAAACTAACACCTAAGCAAGCCAGTTGGCCCGCTTATTATAGGGAATTGTTTGCCATCTATTCGTTTGTTCAACATTTCAGACATATATTAGAAGCTAACTCCTGTACTGTCTATACTGATCACAAGCCCATCACTTTTGTTTTTCAACAAAAGAAGGACAAACTACCTCCTGTTTAAACTAACCATCTTTCATTTATCTCACAGTTCACAACTGACATTCAACATGTTTCTGGTGCTTCAAACATAGTAGCAGACAGTTTTTCTAGGATAGAATCTATTTCTGCCAACAAGACTAGTAAAATTGATCTGCATCTCTTGGTAGATTCTCAATGTAATGATGAGGAACTTAAGTCTATTCTCGAAAACAGTACTTCACTTTGTCTTCAACCAGTTCCAGTTCCCGGCTCTGATGTTTTCGTTTACTGCGATAAAAAGAACGGTAGAGAACGATTGTATATCCCCAAATGTTTACGCAGAGAAGCGTTTAATTCAATCCATAACTTAAGTCACCCTGGGATAAAATCCATGAATAAAATGTTAACTTCAAGATATGTTTGGCCTTCAATAAATCGTGATTGTAAAGAGTAGACCTTGTCCTGTCGAGGGAGTGTCAATGTTCAAAAATTACTCATCATGTTCAAACACCTATCAACGATTTTCCTTTGCCAAATTGTAGATTTGAACATATTCATGTGGATATCATCGACCCATTACCCCAAGTTGGAAATCTTCGTTACTGTCTTCCAGTAGTAGATAGGTTCACCAGATGGCCGGAAGCACACCCCTTGCAAGGTATCTCTGCCGAAGAAGTCTCGTCAGCTCTTTTCAATTGTTGGATATCAAGGTATGGTGTTCCCTTGCGAATAACAACAGACCAGGGTAAACAATTTGAATCTGCACTCTTTGCTGAGTTGGGAAAATTGTGTGGATATTCAAGATTAAGAACAACAAGTTACCACCCGTGCGCAAATGGCATGGTGGAACGTTTTCACAGACAACTCAAGGCGGCCATCATGTGCCACTCCGCCTCCACGTGGGTCGAATCCTTACCCACAGTGCTTCTTGGAATAAGAAATGCTTTCCGTGTGGACCTGAACACCTCGTCTGCTGAAATGGTTTTGGAGAGGTTTTACGCCTCCCTGGCGAGTATTTTATGCCAACAACCCAGCTAGCACCCTTAGAGGATCCGACTAATTTTGTGTCTCGATTACGATTCAAGATTTCATCAATAAAACCAATAAATATCAAGAGACACGGCATTAACCGAAGCTTCATTTTTCGTGATTTGGACACATGTTCGCACGTTTTTCTGAGAGTGGATGCTATGAGAAAATCTTTACAACATCCATATGATACACCGGACCTCATCCAGTGATCAAGAAAGACAGTAAAACTATTACAATAAAAGTGAATGGTTCTCAAGTGAAAGTTAGTCTTGACCGAGTTAAACCGGCCTATGTCCTTCAGAATGATGAAGTTAAGCCCTCAACTGTATCTCAAACTTCAAAAGATGTGGATTTTCAAAAGTCTGGAAGAAAAGTGACATTCAAGAATCCAATTTCAGTTTGATGGAAATTGCCTTTGTCCTTGCTGTTATTATTATTATTTTTTTGTTATTGGTTATTATTTTTGTGACTTTTCGGAACCCTCCAAAAACTCCATGGACTTCCCGTAGGGGGCTCCTGTAGTGAGCTGACAGATTTATCAGCTGACAGATGTTTTAAAGAGTTTTATTTAATTTTGGTTGCTATGAAGAGAAAAATAAACAAAGAGACATTCTTTTAGGCTTTTCAACCAAAGTGGTTCATTTTTATTTTCTCTAAACAATTAATTATTAATTACTTTTCAAAGTTTGATAAATTAAACAATAATATTTAGTGGAATCCTCAAGACTTTTATTTAAGGTATTTTTCCTATTTAATGAGGTTTTTTCACTAAATAATAAAAACTTATTTCTAAAAAGTTAAATTTAATATTGTGTTAGGGTTTGTAGCTCGTCTATAACATGTCCGATTTTAATGATCAATAGCTCAAATGAAAACACTTTTATCACCGAATATTTTAAGGCTAGAACAAACTGCAAGTGTTAGTAAAAACTGGAGATATAAGAAAAATTAACTTAAAAAATGTTCAAATTAACGTCCATAAGAAATGTATTAGGGAGAATTTTCGTTTGAATATATCTTCAAAACAAAAAATATTTTTTTAAACGGATTTTAGCATTGAAATCAGCGTGAAAATCTAATGTATAATGATGTGTCACAACACTATCATTACGTTTAAAAAAATATATTTATATCCAATATGGCGGATCCAATATGGCAGATCCAAGATGGCGGCCAAAATGTGTTCCCTATCAAAATAAAGGACTAACCACACAATAAATATCGGTGGTAATCTCAAGTGAATATCTAAAAAATATGCAAAAAAATGCATGTGATATATTTTTTGATGTATCCAATGTTGGGGATAACCTGCATTTTTAATCGTCATTTGAGGGGATTTTCTGTAGCCCGATTTTTGGCAACTCTTAGTAGGTCACTCTGCACACCCAACACTATACCAAATAAAACCATACAATGTTTTCTTGTATTGTTTTAAGGCCATATCCCATATTTATCTGACTATTGGTATTTTAAAATAAATGGCTCTTAAGAAAAATAGCCCCCATTTTAAAATGTATTTTTAGACACTTTCCCATGGTCGGATTTTGTCGGATTTTGGATATGTTGTAAAGTAACATTTGTTGAGTCGAATACCACTTCAATGGCTTATGAAGCAATTTTGCCCTGGTCAAATCATAATTTTACTAGACTATATGTCTTTTCTGCAAAAGAAAATGAATACAGTAGAGTCCCGCAAACTCGGCGTAATGTGGACTGGAAGGGTGCCGAGTTTGTGAAATGCCGGGTTATCAGGAACTAGGGTTAAAAATAAGAACAATACAATTTTTAAGCTTTTTAATCGCCTTTTTTATTAATATTTTTATTACAAGTCAGTATTAAGTCATCAGATTTAGTACAACAAATCCTTGGTATGAGTTGCGAATGATGTGTCTAGCGCTGGCTTGAGTCCATTTTTAACTCGGACTCAAAAAATCACTAAGTTTCTGAGCCAGGTGATGGTTGAGTTATCCAGACTGCCGGGTTATCGAGTGCCGAGTTTGCGGGACTCTACTGTATAGATATTATGTCTAAAGTTTAAAGAGCTAAATATCAAAAACCTTTAACCCCCCCGTATGCTCCAGTGTAAAAAAATGAGCGTGCGCGCTTAAGGGTTAAAGTGCCAAATCGTTCTGTCATTAATGTGATATAAAAAATAATTGTTTGTATGTATATCTAAAGTAAACTCTACGACCTGTAAAACTACTGAAACCCCTTTTTAATAATGAAAAATATCTCAAACTCCAATAGGTATTGTTGTCTCACTAAGCCAATTGGTTTGATGTTTTGAAGGATGGTTGGGTTACTCATCAGACAAAGTGCGTTCTCTACTGAGCAAATACATGGCTCAAGGATTCAGCGCTTTTAAGATCAAAGTAGGAGACAACTTGGAGGACGACATCAAACGTTCCAAAATGGTCCGAGAAATCATTGGACCAGACAGAATACTGGTGAGTCAGTCATGTACTTTACATTTTGTAAGGCAGTGAAAAATATAAGACTAGCTGCTGTACCCGTGCTTTGCAACATAGAGGACACCAAAGAGAACAATTTAATCTTTAAATCTGTTGTATAGTTACACACCCCCATTTTGGTTTCAGAAACAAAATTCAATTGGACCTCTAAGTTTGGAAAATAGCTTTTTTTATAGCTAAGCTAACTTATAAGGCTATCTAGTACGAATTATATGGCACTGATGCATGTATGAAAATACTGTACCCATACGATTTAACTTTCAAATGATACGCTTAGACGTTTATTTAGCTAAAAAACATACATATAAAGTGAATAGGTAAAAAATAATCGCACAACATGGGTACTGTAGTAAATCAAAAAAGATTTGATATTGATTTCACATATAATTTACTAGCTGTACCCGCGGGCTTTGCCCCGTTTAACTTCATAAGTGAGCTCGTTTGCAATATTTTGTACAGGAAATAAGTAATATTGTATAACCGTTGCTGTATTAACCTCTTCCCTCTAGTTGTAAACATCATGCTTCTGGGATGGGAATTATTTTCCTCATAGACTTGTGGAAACTGTAAAATTAAAATGTTTTAATATATTTTAACAAATTGTTGTTTATGATGTTAAATTGCTTAACATGTAGTTGGATTGGGCCTTAAAATATGCATGTTTATTAAAACAAGGTGATACACTAGTCCCGTTAGTCCGAAATGGTTGGGACCGGGCCCATTTCAGATTACAAAATATTTCGGATTAAACGTTTTTTTTTTTTTTTTTTATTTTTTAAAAATTTAGGATAAAAAATTTTAATTTTTTAATAAAAAAAAAAAAATTTCTTGTCTTAGGACGCAGGCACGAGCTTGGGATTGTTTTTCACATTACTTAAGGCTAGATGTTAATGACTAATTTTATATATATATGTATGACCATTGATTAATCTTTATATTTCTGTTGTATGATTTATTTGTGAAGATAAATTATCACATGTTGTAATATTGTAAAAATGGGTAAATAAATAGTTATTGAATTGTTGTACTGAAATTGACTATTCTTTTATTTGTCTTTGATAATTGACAATTTGATATTGGTGCCGAAACTAAAAAAGAACCATGTCTTACAGAAAAAGTAATAGGGAAGTTAAACCTCCAAACTCCTGATCAGAAAGAAAATAATGATACTGACAAATTATTAAAGAATGTTTCTGAGAATGGAAACAATGATTATACAAGGAATAGCATTGAGACAAACCAGCATTACTTCTATTAGTTCAAGGAAAACAAAAAGTAAATCTATAACATCAAGCAACAGGAGAAAATGGAAATAGAGCTTGAAAAGTTGGAAGAAATACAAAAACTGGAACGAGAAATTGAAGATAAGGAGCGACAACGGTTGGAGAAGGAAATGGAGCGACAACAGTTGGAGAAGGAAATGGAGCGACAACGGCTGAGAGACGAGAGGGAGCTAGAGCGACATAAACAAATGCTGGAAATAAGGGCTTCTATGAAATCACTATCGGCAAATGGTAGTCAAGTCTGCGGATCTGAGGTAAGCCTAGGCCAAAGCTTAATATCTCTGAGAGAGGGGAGAGAATCTGAGAGTAAAGTCGTAAAGTGGCTGAATGATAATGAACCGACAGTTCATCAGTGTTCATCATCCGCTATGACCACGGCTGCACAATTACTAGCAGATTCAGTCAAAAAAGCTATTCAACCAACCTCTCTTTGCCGGCAACAACTACCAAACTTTAGTGGTAGACCAGATGAGTGGCCTATGTTCTTTTCTGCATTTGAAAATACCGTAAAATTGTATTCTGATGATGACAATCTAGCTAGACTTAGAAACTGTCTTGAAGGCGAAGCCTTCAAAATGGTGAAACCTCTTTTTGTTTCCAGTAAAAACTTGCATGCCATAATTAAAACGTTACAGATGCGTTTCGGTAAGCCCGAGTTTATCATTGAGTCTATGATGAACCAAACTAGAATGCTAGCCCCTGTAACAGAAGACGATATTGTTGGCCTCACTGAATTTTCTACAACCATTCTTAACTTTACCTCTACAGCTGAGTCCCTTCATGGAGTACTACATGACAAACCCTCAACTACTCAGTGAACTGTTAGGAAAATTGCCTTATCAAATGAAGTACCATTGGGCTCAACATGAGAGCAGTATGTGTTTTTTATTTTTCAGATTGGTTAGAGAGACAATGTTCTATCATGAGTATCTATTTTCATCCAAACAAGGATGTCCTGACTAGAAAGAAAAATGACTTCAAACCTGTGTTGACCAACTCTTCAAAAGCAGCAGTTCCCGCAGTTGGCCCACTTACCTGCGAGTTCTGTGGTGGTAAGCACGAAAATGACAAATGCTCTATACTTCGGAAAGCTGATATTTCCGAAAGGTGGAAAATGGTAGGTGAGAAAAAGCTATGCTTTTATGTTTCAGACGACATCAACTTAAATTTTGTAAGTCTAAAAGAGCTTGTAGTATAAACGGTTGTAAGCTGTACCATCACCGTCTCTTACATAACTCCAATCTTGAACGACATCCAATGAAAATAAATTAGGGAGATTTAAAAACCAGAGATGAAGTAATCGGTAATCATTTTGAAGATAACATATCAAACCGTGTTTTCCTTCGTGTTTGTCCTGTCACGTTTTACGGTCCCAAGTAACAGGTAGATACTTATGCCCTTTTAGACGACTGCTCGACTGTATCACTTCTGGATTCATCAATTGCCGATGAACTTGGTATCAAGGGTGAGATTGTTCCTTTGACAACATGTTGGTCTAACAACACAAGACAAGTTGAATCTCAATCAAAGAGAATAGATTTAAAAATAAAAGGATTTTACGAGGATGAAATCTTTACATTGAAAGGGGTTAGAACTCAGTCCAGTTTAGAGTTACCACACCAACAAATAGACAGTGTTAAAATGAGGGAGAACTGGCCACACTTAGACTCGATCAACCAATCTCTTCCATTAGTGAGTGTCAGGCCCACTCTCTTGATAGGCCAAGACAACTAACTGTAACCTTATTCTAACCCGTAAGATTATTGAAGGTCCTACTAACGCCCCAGTACTGTCATGGTGCCTTCTTGGTTGGACTCTACATGGGAAGTGTGCACAATTCAGAGATCGTGTGGATGAGAATTTTACCCTACTCTCATATGAAGAATCTTTGCTTCATGACATGGTAAAGAAATCCTTTGAATAAGAAAAATATGGAAAAACAAGATCAAATAACCTGAAATTGTCCATAGAAGAAGAACGTGGAGTATCAATCCTTGAGGATACCATAAAAAAACAGGAGATCATTACGAAGTTGGTCTTTTATGGAAAGATGACGAATTTAATTTTCCTCCAAGCTATGACAATGCTCTGAGAAGATTAAATACTCTTGAAAAGAAAATGGAAAAAGATCTGGAATTTAAAGAAGCTTATACAACCAAGATTGACGAATATATCGAAAAAGGAAATATTAGAAAACTCAGCCCTGAAAAAGCTGCTATCATAACAGGTCGGACATTCTATCTACCCCACTTTGGAGTATCGAACCCGAACAAACCTAAAAAAATAAGATAGGTTTTTGATGCTGCTGCTAAATCTCACGGAGTTTCGTTCAATGATGCACTACTCAGTGGCCCTGACTATTTGAATCCATTGCCATCTGTGCTGTTGAAATTCCAGTTAGGAAAATTTGCTATCGTGGGAGATATAATGGAGATGTTTCACCAAGTAAATATAAGAGATGAAGACGTTGACTCACAAAGATTTCTGTGGCGAAAAGACAAAACCAAACCCCCAGATACCTACATAATGAAAGCGATGACCTTCGGAGCAACATGTTCACCAAGCTCTGCACTGTTTGTTGTAAACCACAATGCAAGACAGTTTCACTCTTTGTATCCTGAAGCTAGTAATTCCACACTAACTAAAGAATATATGGACGACCTGCTGGATTCGACTGACACAGAAGAGGAAGCTAAACGACGTGTTCAAGAAATAATTGAGATACATAGAGCTGGAGGGTTTCAAATTTGTAACTGGATGTCTAATTCAAAACAAGTACTTTCGAAAATTCCTGAAAACCTGAAAGCCAGCCAAGCCAAATATTTGATGCCCGATACTCGACTTCCTACAGAACGAGTACTTGGATTATGGGGGGACGCTGAATCCGACTGCTTTGTGTTTCATCGAAATTTCAAAAAACTTGAATTTCTCGAATCTGAGTATCCGACGAAACGAGAGATTCTTAAAGCAGCTATGTCAATTTTTGATCCTCTAGGTCTGATTGCCCCTACCACAGTAAAAGGGAGACTACTGGTTCAGGATATTTGAGAACAAAACTAGGTTGGGATGATGTTGTGACACCTGAACTTAGTCTGAAGTGGAAAGCTTGGATGGATGAAGTCAAAAGTCTTGGAACACTGAAAATGAAAAGGTACTTTTCGGCGTCCGATGACAAAAATTGCCATTCTACCTGAGGAGGGGAAAGATGTTAATGACTAATTTCATATAGGCCCTATATGTATGATAATTGATTAATCTTTATATTTCTGTTGTATGATTTATTTGTGAAGATAAATTATCACATGTTGTAATATTGTAAAAATGGGTAAATAGTTATTGAATTGTTGTACTGAAATTGACTATTCTTTTATTTGTCTTTGATAATTGACAATTTGATATTGGTGCCGAAACTAAAAAAGAACCATGTCTTACAGAAAAAGTAATAGGGAAGTTAAACCTCCAAACTCCTGATCAGAAAGAAAATAATGATACTGACAAATTATTAAAGAATGTTTCTGAGAATGGAAACAATGATTATACAAGGAATAGCATTGAGACAAACCAGCATTACTTCTATTAGTTCAAGGAAAACAAAAAGTAAATCTATAACATCAAGCAACAGGAGAAAATGGAAATAGAGCTTGAAAAGTTGGAAGAAATACAAAAACTGGAACGAGAAATTGTAATATTGAAAAAATGGGTAAATAAATAGTTATTGAAATGTTGTACTGAAATTGACTATTCTTTTATTTGTCTTTGATAATTGACAATTTAATACTAGACCTAGTGGCTGCAGCATTATCACTTAATAAAATGCATTTGTGATTTGGCGGGATTTGAACCCGGGACGAAAATGAAAAATGTTACTTACAAAAATGGTGAAATATTTACTAAAATACTCTAGAAAAAAGGCCAACTTACCCGGCCGCTACAGAATACTTTGACGAAGTACAGCTAACTGTGTTAAAAGTTAAATAAAAAAATTTTTTAAATTTTAAAAATTTAATTTTTTTTTCTAAAAAAATATATTTTTTTGTTTCGGATTAAGCAGACTTTCGGATTACCGAAGTTCGGATTATCGGGACTCCACTGTATACACATAATTAAAATGTTTAGAGAACTCCACAACTACAGTACATGATTTGCTTTGTTGATAAATTTTGTAATCATGATTTTCAGTTTCTACCAATCTTAAAGTTCTGAGAAGTAGCAACAACAATATTATAGTCATCATTAATTTTGGATATTGCAATTAGGGTTCACATCCTATTGAACAAATTTGTACCCTCTTTTTACGTATGTTTCTTGCATGGTTACTTCGGAATGCACTAAGTACTATGGTACTACAAGTAAAAGTAGTAGGCAAAATTTTATATTTTAAATTAACTCATTTTGCAACTGACATTATCTTTCCTCGATTAAGTGTTTACTAAACACCGGCTTCAATCAAACCAAAGAGAATTTTATAAAATTTAATTTTTTTTTATTTACTTTAATTTCTAGCATCAACTGAAAATGTTATGCCATTTTAGCAAATTTCCCATAAAGGGAATAAGCTATTACCGTAGTACTCATGGTAAGACCTGGACGCGGGACCGATTTTTTTTTGTTTTGAGGTCCCTAGAGGCCAAAAACACCATCCGTTCAAATTCATATATATATATATATATATCTAATATATAAAATTCTCGTGTCACAGTGTTTGTCTGCAAACTCCTCCGGAACGACTTCACCGATCGTTATGAAATTTGGTGTGTAAATTCTGTAGGTATGCGAATCGGACGTAAACTATTTCCCGTTTCGAAATTCTTAAAAGGGCTCCGCCCCAGTGGCTCTGGAGTTTCCCATGTTAACCTTATGAGAAATGGAATTAATGAATCTTAACAGCTGTTTCAATTAAACAAGTTGGTTCTGTTCTATGATGTTCAATAGCATTAAAGTTACAAGGATTACCAACAGGGTGCAGCACTATTATTTCTTTTACATTTATGACAACAGCTAATTTGCAACCAAAAGGTGCGTGAGCGTAGCGAACGAACTTCAACCTGGAGGCGAGTGAGCGTAGCGAACGAGCTAACCTGAAGGCAAGTGAGCGCAGCGAACGAGCTCCAACCTAAAGGTGAGTGAGCGTAGCGAATGAGCTCCAACCCAAAGGTGAGTGAGCGTAGCGAACGAACTTCAACCAGGACGTGATTGAGCGATGCGAACGAGATCATCTTGAAAATTAAACGTAACGGTACTTTCTTTCCATCGGTCTGTCTTAGGGGAAACCTATAACTTAGGCGATACGAAGTTCGCCGGGTCAGCTATATATATATATATGTGTCCGTCAGCACGATAACCAGAGCAAAAATGATCCGATTTTGATGAAATTTGGTACAAACGTGTAAACGTATGTTTATTCGAACGAGTTCGCGATCCAGCATGATCAGACCATGGGAACGGGGGTTTACGGGGGGTTTTATGGGGTAAAAATAGGTTTTTCCCATTTTTGACCTAAAAAACATAAAATTTAGCAATTTCTTTCCAAACCATTTTGTAGAGCTTAAAAAAACAAATAATTTAGTATATTGAAGCGTTATTATGCGCCTAATGGTTACGGAGAAAATTCCAAAAAATTGTAAATTTAAAATTCCCATGTTATTCTTATGGAGAATAAATAAACTGTTGTAGTTTGCTTGTTTGTGAACATATTTTGATCAAACTTGGAAAATGTTTTTATTTCTTACTAACTATTCACATTTTACAAAAAAAAAAACAGTTTTACGGTTAAAGTGACACTTGAAATATGGAGTGAAGCTATACGACTGGATTGGGCAGGTTTGTCTTGACCAATTTTGGGAGGGAATTTGCGTCAAAAGCCTTAGGGGGGATGGACACCCCTGAATCACCCCCAACAATTTTGGTGAAAAAAATTAATTATCTTTAACTGTATTTATAGGGTGGGTCAAAACGTTAAAAAAAAGGACTTTGAAGTTAAGTACCGTATTACCTTAACTAGTACCCACCTACTGAACGGAACAGCGCCAAATTTTTTCCAAGCTTATTCTTGAGCTACTCTTTAAGATACTCTTCATATCATTTGAAAGGTCCTTCTCTTGTGGTCACGAAGACTTACCACCTCCCGTGGTCTTGGCAATATCTTGAAATCCCTCTGCAGTAATGAAGACATCATCTGTGCCTTCCATGATCTTGGCAATCTTTACATTCCCCTGTGGTCGCAAAGACATCATCATCATCGTCTGTTATGATTGTGGCAATATCTTGACATAATCCCTCCTTGGTCATGTTAGCCCGTAGTGAAGTCACAACTTCAGCCGTTTCATAATAAAACTCAAAAGTATGTCGGTCGAAGCTGACAGGCAACAGCTACTGTAGTTTTACTGTACGTTTCAACTGACTACAAGACTCCCCTGCGTAGGGCAGGCACACAGCTAGTCTTGAATATTTTTTACACTTTCTTGGATTTTTTAAATTTTAAACTCTATACAAAATTGGTTTTATCAATATAAAAAAATTGAGATTATCTCATTTTGTACGAAAACCTAGTTAAGCACATAAAAGGCCTTTAAAAAGTGCCTTTTTGAAGTTAGATTTTACAAAATTTTCTGAGGGAGGTTTCCCCTCTTGCCGTGCCACAAGCTCAGCCTAGGGTCCCACAGACTCTAAATCCGGCCCTGATTCTTTTGTTTAGATGATGGATGCCAACCAGAAGTGGGATGTGGGACAGGCAGTGAAGTGGATGGAACAGTTGGCAGTGTACAAACCATTGTGGATTGAGGAGCCTACGTCTCCAGATGATATCTTGGGACACACAGAGATATCTAAGGTAAGTGTTAAGTTTAACTACTACTATCCTTAAAAAGAGTTGCATATTGAATTATTTCTTATTAAATCTTTATTTTTAGCGAATTTCCCATATAGGGATAAGCTATTACCGTAGTACTCATGGTAAGACCTGGACGCGGGAACGATTTTTTTGTTTGTTTTGAGGTCCCTAGAGGCCAAAAACACCATCCGTTCGAATTCATATATATATATATATATATATATACACGGCCGCGCCCGGGAAGCCAGTCACATGAAATATACACTGGAAGTCAGTCAGTTGCACCCCCCAATATATTTCAAGACTATGATATATATATAATATATATTGGTAAATATCTTAAGCCTAGACATATCTGAACGTATATATCTCTTTTTTTCTTAAAAATACTAAAATATAATTACGTAAAAAATGCTATGCTAATGCAGTCACCACCGCATTTGCATGGGAAAGCCAGTCACGTAAAATTTGTGCTGCTAAGCCAGTCACTATATATTTTACCGCATACCACTGGAATCCAGTCACTGAAAATCCACCGGGTGTCCCGTCTCTTCAGTCAATTTCACCCCTGCCCTTCTACTTTGTACTATTTATTTCTTCTACAAGCTTGAAAATACGCACCTCAAACAAACGGATTATGCTTCATAATACCGGATTATGCATTGAGCACTCTCATAACCAATCTTTCGCACTTCATTTTAATTAGTTGTCTTCCAGATTACTTAACAAAGAATTACTATTCTACAGATTAAATACCTAAATGCCAATGTAATCTTTGGTCGTCTTATAATGGTCGTCCTGCCAACTGTGGATACAAATATGTAACGAGCTAATTCGCAAGCGCAAGGTGGGAAGTTATTGCTTTATAGTAGCACAAGTAGGCCTATTGTTGAGTCCTTGGAGGCAAGCGGCCATCTTGGATAATTTCAAATAGCTGCAAAATTATCTTCCAAAAATATTTTTTCAAACACCAAAGTGATGATTATAATTTAAATAGCTAGTATACTGTGGGATTAGAAATGTTCTTAGTAGTTTTGAGTTATTCTCTAAGGGAGTCCATAAAAGCTAACGGTCACGGTCATCTTGGACAAAGGCCAACTAATACGAAAACAATATCCTTTTTGCGCGGGCCGTAGCACATAGATAGTTTTCCCGCCTCAAACAATCGAAGGCGCGTGGAACAAGGCAAAATTCTTGTCTCTCTTGTGACGAGAGGTAGGGGCGAGCCTAACGGGTTCCATTGATGGGCTACCCGACTACCGACCGACCTGGGGTAGCGACTAGCGAGCCACTGGATGTTTGAAGGTTCGGCTGGTTATTTCCAACTTGCTGGTTCTCGAGCTTACTGAGCTCGTTGTACAGTGAAATCTTACTTCCCTATTTTATATAGCCACAATCAAATCGATATTTACAAGAAAGAATGAAGATATAGACTCAGTGATGTGTGGTTACTTAATCAAATTACGTTCCTTGATTGTTTATCCTTTTATAAGAGACAATAATCAATCAACTTATATTTTCTTTATTTTTCGATTTATTATCTATATAAATTCAAGAGGTAGCCCTGTACCTGGTTAACACATATATCGATTACTTTTAACGTGTTTTCTTTGAGTTACGCCCTATGGGATTCCAAAGTTTCACAATGTTTACATTTTTGAAGAATGTAGATAACAGAATGTTAAATGAATTTAGCTGTAAATGCAGTGCTTTGATTTTACGGTCCAAAAGGTAGAAACAATTCGAATTGTGAAACTTTTAATTTTTGCTACGAGCCTGTTAATTGGAGATTGTGACTTTCTTAATTTAAGGAAGTAAACGTATTTAACATGACGTGTTTGGAGTGGGATTTGAAATATGTGACGTGTATCAAACTTTTTCTCTTCAAAATCCTATCCGATGTAAAACACGGGTGCGGCAGCTAGGTTTATTAGAATTCAAAATTTTTTATGATTAAAATTGTGCTCCAATGTTTTGAAGTTATTTTCCGAACAAGTTGTTTAATAAATAAATAACTGTTTTGCCAAATTATGTTTTGAAACCAGGAACTAAAAGTAGATCAGGAAATAGATATTTTAGTTCAGAAAACAAAGCCAATCAAATAAGCCTACGTACTTTTTAAATAAAAACACTGGTCGGATGGTTTGTAGCTTTGTTGTTTATTTACTTCAATAAATTTCTAATGGAAATCACCACAGGTACTAATCTATATAAATAAAATTAGAGTTTTGTCTGTACATTGCTCAGAATCATCAATTTTTAGGTTATTTTTACCTTTTATACATTCAAGAATCCGAAACAAGTCTCATCTCAATTATTCCATTATTATCTCAATCATCAATTATTATCTCAATTCCGTTGTTGTCTGTCTTCCGTCTGTCACGGCCCAAAAGCCATTTTACGCGGCCTTCTCCTAAAAAACGAGAGTAAAGATCCGAATCGTTTTAATGTATTCACTGGATTGGCGAAAGTGTCTTAAGCTATTAAAATATGGCCTCACTACTTTGTAAAAAAACTTACGGACGTTTAAAAACCCAATTTTGTGCGATTTTTGTCAAGTTTTCTCACAATGTTTATCACATAATCATCTATGAAATAGCGAACGGCTGCTCGGATCAAGATTATTTTTCTCTAGCTGTCACTGATATGTTTACATTGAATGTTGTTTACAAATACTGCAATCATTTCCGATCACGTTTCAAAAGCAAATCCAAACCAAGTTGGTTTAAAACAGTTTTTCCTTACATAACGGATTTAATTAAACGCAAGTGCAATAATGTGTAGGGTAACCGTAAATAAAAACAGAGCTATTTTGTGTATACAAATTTTATTTAGTTTTAATAACCGGGGAAAAGACCTTGAATCAGTGTTCTATGGCTGGGAAACTTAAATTTTTTACATAAGCGTTACCAATAGCTTACATAAAAGGTTTCAACTCACTGACGGCACTTCAATGGTGGTTGTGTAAAGTGTAAAGTGACAACTGCAGTGGGTGATTGTAACAGAGGTTTACGGATTATGCTCAAATCGCTTTTCCAATGTGTCTTCTCAACGCTATGTGTTGCTCGCTGGACCATAGAGCCAATATACCAATTGCCCATCTCTTGGGTTCGTAGGCCTAAACAATTATTTATAAGTTGGTAGCGCATATTACTCAGTGTTCCGTACAGACAGGAAAAGAGCACCTTTGATAGTGACATTTCGGTACTTTCCTGTTAAAGGGAACATTCATTATTATCGATGATTTTTTTCTCGATATATCGATATTAACAAATTGAAACATATCAGCTGACAATGACGAAAAATATTGTTCAGTATCAACAAACATTAATGAAATGAAACTGTTCTAAAATAAATAACCTAACATAACTAACCAAACTTACTGTAACATTTAAAAATTCCGCGTTTAAAACTTGCCTTTTATATTCAAACCCAAAGAGAATTTTTAAATGGTACAGCAAGTATGGTTGGTTATGTTAGGTTAGCTTAGAATAGTTTCATTTCTTGTTGTCAATTTGTAATGGATCGGAAAACAAAAACATCGATATATCGAGAAAAAAATCATCGATAATAATAAATGTTCCCTTTAAAAAAAGGGGAAGTATCGACATTTCTAACCTGAATGTTTAATGGCGAGGTTGAGATATAGTATTTTGACTTTATGTCGTTTGGTTAGTTAGGTAAGGTTAACCTAACCTAACTAACCAAACGATATATCGAATTAAACAGTCGAATAATCATTTAGTTGTTTGTGCCATCAGATATAAAAGTGTACCCCACATAGATCTATTACGCATTTTTTTTACTTGAAACTGTCAGATACTGTATTTGTTTCTATATAATAGTTTGGCCAGTATATCTGAAAATATGCAAACCATCAGCTGTTCTTTATATAGGAAGGTTTCAACTGACCACTATAAGATCCCCGTACGTAGAACGGGCACACAGCTAGTAATCAATATTTAATTAATACATCTTATCTTACTAATCTTACTAATATTATAAAAGTGAAAGTTTGTGTGCTTGTTTGTTTGAAGTTCAATTACGCATTAATTCGATATGAAGATAGCTCACATTCCAGATTATCTCAAAGGTCCTTTCGGGCTCAGATCCTTTCGGGCTCCACCCAAGTGGCCCTGGGAATTCCCATGTTAACATTATCAGTATTCATATTTGAAATCAATTAAAGAATTTTACCTGCTGTTTCAATTACACAAGTTGGTTCTATGATATTCAACAGCATTAAGGATTTATAGGGTTTACCAATAGAATGCAGCACTATTATATTTTTTTCATTTACGACAACAGCTAATTTGAACCAAGCCGCAACAAAAACCTTTGATACACAATTGGAAGTGACAAAATAGGATTGTTTACAGTTATGCTTATGTTTTTTATTTATAAATAATTTGTCGTATTGTGCGAATTTTTGGTGATTTACTTTTTTCTGCTGTTTAGATGCAGCGGTAGAACATTATTATGGATATGGTAGATGTTTATACTATAGCATACTGTAATCTAGTTTTCTCGGAGTAGGCAGCGTAAATTTACATTTTGTCGGTACATACAGAATGACAGAAAGACAGACAGACAGAAATTGAGATGATACTCGTTTCGGCTTTCTTAGGCTATGAAACGTAAAAATAACCAAACAAACTGCATGATTCTACGCAATGGACAGACAAAACTGTAATTTTATTTCTATAGAAGATGACTGCTACTCTACTAGTCAAATTTGCACAGTTTCGAGCACTCGACACACGACAAGCTGGTCGGAGTCTGACACCATTGAAGAATCACTGCAAGGGATGCGCCAAGAGGTAGACGAACATTCAGATGAGTTCTGAGAATTTCAACTTTCTCGTTTTTTAATGTGCCGTTATAGCCTTACTTGGAAGAGGGGGATTTTTGGACCACGAATGAGTTCGTATTTGTTTAGTTTTAAATAAATCCGACCTGAATATAAAATAGCAAATGCAAGTCCGCAGTTTGCGTTTTTG